CCCACAGCTTGCAGCAGAGCTGCTGAACACAGAGGAAGAGATAGGTGGGGGGATGCTGGATGTTCACCAGTTACTGACACACATGTATTTCATAATCTAGAGATATACTGAAAATCTGAACACATTTTTAGCCAAATAGTGAAAACACAGTGGGGTTTATAGTTTGTGAGTTGTTTTGTTTTGATTTGCCTCTTCTAGAAGGATTGCCATACTGGTCCACATTCTTCACCTCTGCCCTTTTTCTCTCCCAGGCCAATACATGAACGAAAGCTATATTGTGTCAGGCTGATGGGAGTTCGAGAGAAAAGAAGTGGAGTGGGATACATGTGTGTGCATGCTTGCATGTATGTGTATGTACATGCATGCATGTGAATGTGCATATGTGCTACTGTGTGGTCCATGCCAAACTGCATGTGCAGGTATGCAAATGTGTATGTGTGCACATGTGTGCACAAACACTCATGCTAGCATGCTTTAGAAAGGAGGGAGCCTCAAGGTGCTAAGGACTGAGCAGATAAGGACTGGGTGATAAGGACTAGGCTTATTGAGTGAATGAATGAATGAATGAACAAAATACCCAGCCTTGTAGTCTCCTCTGCATCCTTCCTAGCCCCAGAGAGAGATAAGCCTTTTCTCTAAAGCAAGTGATGGGTGGCCTTTAGCATTTATCTCCACCATCATTACACCTGTAGGACCCTCTGAACAGACCACCACCACCTCCCTTACAGAACTTCAAGAAGAAAAAAAGCGGAGCTTACTGGAAAATCCTTTCTCTGCAATATTTGTTCCTCAGTGACTGTGGTAATGACCCTGGGGCTGAGGGAGGAGGGGGACTGTAGACTTGTATAACCAGACATGGTAACTAGAAAGTGCTCAAAAGAAATCCCTAGCAATGAAGCATGAATTTGGGACACATAGTGCCGCCAGCAGCTGGGTGGCTGGAGTGAACTGTTTGCAAAGAGGACTGTGATCATTACTGGCATGGCTGCAGGCATGGCCCTTCGCATTGTGACTCTGCAAGGGGAGGGGGGCTTGCTTTTCTAACCCAGAACTCTGGGCTTGGCTGTGTAACTTGCTTTGGCCAATGGGATATTAGCAAATATGACACAAGTAGAAGCTTGAAAAGTGCTTGCACATTGGGGTTTGCTCACTTTGGACTCTTTTTCTTTTTTTAATTGACCAGAAAACTGCAACCACATGAGTGGCCCCAGTTGAACCCTGCCCAAATTGCTGACCCACAGAATTATGAGCACAGAAAATGGTAGTTGTTCTAAGTCACTGTGTTTTGAGGTAGTTTGTTATGCAGCAACTGATAACTGATACAAAGGCTTTAAGTAAGTCACTTCCCTGTGCCTCCATTTCTTTATCTGTAAAAATGTAAGAGTGTTAATTAAATAATATATATACAATACCTAATACAGAGTGAGATGCATCATAAGCACTCATGAAGTGGCTACAGATGTTAGGATCATCCCTGTTTGGCAACAAAGAGAAGGAACGTCAACGAGGTTAATTGACTTGGCCGACTTGGTAAGTGGTACAGCAGGAATTGAAACCCAGGTCTGTCTGTGATCAGTGTGCACTGCTGTGATCCTACGTTGCCTTCCCTGTTGAGAACTCCCTCTCTCTTCCTCTCATTCCCTCTGCTTCTTTAATTCTTACCCATCCAAAGGCACCAAGCTCAAAGCTCACCCTGGAACACAGTAGCCCACTTTTCTGAATCTTTTTTCTTCCTGTTCTCCCTCCCTCCCTCCCTCCTCCTCTCAGTCCATCTCTCACACATGTGCATCTCCCTCAACTAATACACACCCATCTCCTCCTATGTGTGTGCATGGCTGGCGGGGGGCTCTGGGCACACTGTGGGGAACAAGGTCCAGCCCCACAGAGCTCATGGGCAAGTTACACAGCCAAGCCCAGAGGTACCTCCCCTGCGAGCCCATGTGTCCAGCACATACTAGGCTCTGACTTGTGTTGTATCAACAGTTCACACACTACTCTTTTTTAAAATTATTATTATTATACTTTAATTTCTAGGGTACATGTGCATAACGTACAGGTTTGTTACATAGGTACACATGTGCCATGTTGGTTTGCTACACCCATCAACTCATCATTTACATTAGGTATTTCTGCTAATGCTATCCTTCTCCCAGTCCCCCACCCCCTGACAGGCCCCGGTGGATCACACACTACTCTTATCTCTCTGCCCAGATTCCAAACTCCTTAGGAGTAAGACCAGTTTCTTTCATGTTTTTCATCCCTCCCTCCTCCCTCCTTTGCTTTAATGAGCACACTGGAAGCACCAAGGATGTACAAGACTCTGACAGAGGCAGACTCTGAAATGTTCACAATCCCCCACTGTGCCCTACTGCAGCTCTGGGCCCACAGCATGTGGACCCAAATGCTTGAATTTAACTGAGTTTCTGAGTAACTACTGAAGACTCTGTGTGTAGTCAACAAATGATCTTCACGGGGGGTATGCTGGTACCATGAGGATCCCACTCTTCCACGTGCAGCCAAAGGAGAATGCTGGGGACCATTCCTCCTCCACTAGCTCCTGGTGACCCTCACCAGGCTGCTGTGGAAATGGCAAGGCATGGCTCATCCTGCTGGGGCCTCAGCCATCCTGCCTGGCCTGTGTCTCCAATACCAGCAGCATTTCCGTCCAGCCATCCTGCCCTGCAGCCAGCACAGGGAGGTGTGCATGGAGCACCTGCTGGATTCAGGCCACTGTGCTGGGCACTGGGACCTCGAAGGACACAGAGAGATGACACTGTCCTCCTGATCTCTGACCACCACCTGGCCTTGTCCAGTCTACAAACCACAGAAAGAGGACCAGTCCCGTTTGTCACAGGTGAAACCGACAAGTGAAGGGACTTGCTCAAGGCCACACAGTTGGGTTCAAATGGAGCCTTTGGGCCTTTCAAGCAGTGTTTCTCAGCCAAGACCTGACTCCCGGGGAGTTCACACTCCAACATGTTGGAAGACAGGATATAGACAATAAAGATACAAGAGATTTTGGTACATCTGCCATAGGAACTTGAAGCCGAGAGGTAACAACATTCTGAAGGTGGTGGGGTTTGGTCTGAGTTTGAAAAATGAGCGTGACACTAACAGGTAGGTATAGACAGCAGGGACTGCAGGGGAAAAGCAGCAGAGGGGGAAGGTATTTGGTGTAAATAGAGGGCACCAAGAAGAGGAGCCTTGCTGGAGGTCACAGCAAAAGTTAGAGACCTAGGTGGGGATGACTGGGGGGTCCCAGGACATTGGGGCTAAGTTGTTTTGACATTGTGGAGGAAAGTGACCCAAAGTGGAGCCTGAGGAACATAAAAAGGACTTAGACTGGGGAGCACCTGGTCTAGCCAAATTCGCTGCAGAATTCTAAGCAGGACAATCCCATTCAGTTACCAGGCTTGCATTATTTATCACCACCCTTCCCCCCACCGTGAGTATGTACAACAGCCTACTTCACAGCCATCAAGGAGGAGCCAATGATGGTGATGATGATGATAGTGATGCTCAGAACTTCTGATACAGAATGCTCTTCTTTTCTCTTTGTTCTGAGCATGCATCGCATATAGGATCTCCTTTAATTCTCACAAGGATGTACACTAAGCAGGTACTAGTATTTCTACTTAACACCTGGATTTGAACCCAGATCTCCGGCTTCAGAATCTGTGCCTTAACCCAATAGGCTGTTCTGCCCCCCAGTGACCAGCTGATGCAAAGCAATATGTATTCTCAAGCAGCAATTCTTCCTTTACCCTAAGAATGACCCAAGTAAAAACTATCCACAGCTCAAGTTTTGCTCCTTAATTTGGAATCACAGAATTAAAAGTTTCAACTTTTATCTAAGAACTCTCACCCCCATTTTACTGATTGGGAGACTGAGGCCCAGGAAAAATAATGCCTTGCCTAGAGTTCCATAGCTTGCTGGGATCTGAGGCAGGCTTTCTGACCTGAGGTCCAGGCCCTCCCACAAAGGCTCTCAGTGCCTCTGAAGAATTTACCACCTGCTGGCCACACAGGATATAAACATAGAAAGATAATAAAACTGAACAGAAGGGGCTTCTCACAGCCTGCTGTTCTTTCTCCTCATACCAGGGATTTTCAAATTCAATTTTAGCAGCAGATTCTCCCCAACACACAAACACACTTTTCACGAAATGCTATATAGGGCACCTATCTATTTAAAACATAACCATTCTCCACTGTTCTGATTGGGGTAGGGTTGAGGGGCCTGGAGCTCTATCTGCTGGGTCTACCCACCCCACTTCCCACACCTCTCCATGGGGTCCCCACACTCCTCTCGAGGAAGCCGTAGGCTCCCCAAAACACAGTCCGAAAGTCCCTGCATCATCGCTTCATGTGTTTGTGTCCCCATTCACTCACCTTCTTAGATTCTAAAACTCATCTCAAGCACAGTTAGATACTGACTCCAAGCAGGTAACAAGGTCAGCTGTGGACCACACTGTGATGTTCTGAAATTATGCCTTGGAGATGGCAAGGCAGGCTCACCCCATAGCCTCACGTGATCTTGGAGTCGTGCTCCATTTTGCAGATGCAAATACTGAGACCCAGACAAACTGCCCACCTGCCTATGGTCCCGCAGCCGGTAAGGAAGGGCCTCCACTGGAGCCTGTGCTGCCTGACTCCAAAACCTACATCCCCGCCTTCAGGAGCCTTCACACTCACACTCCCATGGCCTTGACTTTGTGCCCTCTGTTCTTGCAGGTAGCACATCCACAGCTGCAGGTCGCTTGAATCTCTCGTGAACTTTGACAAACTAGACAAGCCCAGGCCCTACCCCAGATGTACAGAACCAGAAGCTGAGGCTGTGAGTCATTACATCCTGACATGATGACCCACTGTCACTCAGCATAAAACACAGCGAAAAAGGCCTGAGGTCATTCCAGACCTCCGTTTTGCCTCCCTTCAGCTCTGGTGATGAAGACAGAAGACCCAATCCCAAAACAGCAGTGAGCCTAGGCAGAACTTACTGTGTAGAGCTCGTTGGTCACCTTCAGGAGCTCCTCGTGCATCTGCAGGCCAATCTCCTTGCTCTGGAATATGGAAGAACAAATGTCAGCAGGGGAGAAGTTTGCTGGCTACATTTACCAATCTCTTTTCAAAAGGGAAAGGTCAGGAATGTTTCGGGTGGGGTTGGAAGGGGTACATAAATCAGCATAAATTTCATTGATCTACATGTAAATTCCTCAACTTATGTCCACGAAACAAACCCATAGAGAGAGGATCCTTGCACATGGGATTCCCTGGTCATATGAGTTGGGGAACCCTACACATCACTTCCCTACCACAGTGACTCCCAGTGACAGCAGCATACTAAAGATGTGAGGAAGCCCCACAGAACTTTTCTTTAATTCTATGTGTCCTAAGCTGGTATAACCGGAGTCTGAACTTCTTGTACAATCCTCATGAATGGCTAGAGAGTAGGGTTCCACAGAACACACTTTGAGAAACAATGACGTGGCATCCCAATTCCTCTTGAGAGTAAACGATAATTCTCAAGTCCTCCAGGAAACATCTCAGGTCCTCCAGAACATGAGTCTCCAGCCTTCAGGGCACAGATCAGTCCGTGGCCCATTAAGAACCAGGCCGCACAGCAGGAGGTGAGTAGAGGACAAGAGAGCATTTCCACCTGAGCTCCACCTCCTGTCAGATCAGTGGTGGCATTAGATTCTCATAGGTCCTTGAACCTGGTTGTGAACTGCGCATGTGAGGGATCTAGGTTGCATGCTCCTTATGAAAATCTAATGCAGGATGATCTCTCTCTGTCTCCCATCACCCCCAGATGAAACCATGTAGTTGCAGGAAAACAAGCTCAGGGCTCAAACTGATTCTACATTACAGTGAGTTGCATAATTATTTCATTATATATTACAATGCAATAATATAGAAATAAAATACACAATAAATGTAATGTGCTTCAATCGTGCCAGACCATTGCCCCACCCTGATTCAAGGAAAAATTGTTTTCCACAAAACTGGTCCCTGGTGCCAAAAAGGTTGGGGACCACTCTCCAGAAGACATTTCCTGAAGGATTGTCTTCTTTGACTGAGAATCAGCAGCTGGCACCCACTTGGACATAGCCTTCTTAGCTTTCCAGGACTGGTTACAACAGATGTCCTAACCTTAGTTTGACTTCAAATTTCAGCTTGGCCCTCGCCTGTGCTGGTCCCCTGGTCTGCCTAATCTTGTCTTACCACTGCCTGGATCCTGACACAGTGGCAGGTCCACACTGTCAAGGTGTCTGTTCCAATGAGGGACAGGAGCGGTACAGGTTGGCAGAAAGGCCTTGGGGGCACAAGGCAAAAGATCTAGCATCTCATTTCCACTGTTTTACCAGCTGGCTGTATAGCCTTGGAGAATCACTTCCCCCTTTGAGCCTTAGCTACCTCACCTATCAAATAAAAAGCTTAAAGTAAAACAATACTCTCCAAAGCATGGTCTGAAGATCACTGTTATATGCTATGCTGAAAAAGGGGGGCAGGAGCTGCTAAGACTACATGCATTTGGGAAAAAAGCTAGTTGAACAAAGGTAGACAACTTTTCTTAATACAGGACTTCTCAGTGCCTTTAATGTCCTTCCTTGCATGCAGATTTTCTAAGAAGGAGGTGTAGTATGCAGTTTCATTGACCACAGTCCTGTGGCTTTCATGATATTTAAGGACACAATTCAGATTTGGCTTTCATGATATTTAAAGACACAATTCAGAAAACAATGAGAAAATTATCTCTAGGTTCCATGCAACTTGAAGAGTCTAGAATTCTTTGTTACTTTATTTATGATTGTGATTATGATTTTGGTAAATATTCTCTGCTATAATCTGAATGTTTGTGTCCCCCTCAAAATTCCTATTTTGAAATCCTAACCCCCAATGTGATGGTATTAGGAGGTGATGTCTTTGGGAAGTGATTAGGTCATAAGGGTGGAACCCTCAGGAATGGGACTAGTGCTTGATATGGTTTGAACCTCTGTCCCTGCCAAATCTCATGTTGAAATGGAATTCCCAGCATTGGAGGCAGAGCCTGGTGGGAGATGTTTGGATCATGGGGGTGGATCCCTCATGAATGGCTTAGAGCCATCCCCTTGGTGTATTCTGAAGTGTGTGGCACCTGCACCTCCCACTCTCTCTGTTGCTCCCACTCCTGCCATGTGAAATGCCTGCTCCACCTTCACTTTCTACCGTGATTGGAAGCTTCCTGAGATCTCACCAGGAACAGATCCCTGTGCTATGCTTCCTGTACAGCCTGCAGAACTGTGAGCCAATTAAACTTCTTTTCTTTACAAATTACCCAGCCTCAGGTATTCCTTTACAGCAATGTAAGAACAGACTAATACAATGCCCTTAAAGAGACCCAAGAGAGCTACCTTGCCCCTTCCACCATGTGAAGACACAGCAAGAGGTTGCCCTCTATGAACCAGGAAGCAAGCTCTCACCAGATATCAAATGTGTCAGTGCCTTGCTCTTAGATTTCCCAGCCTCTAGCACTGTCAGAAATACATTTCTGTTGTTTATAAGTCACCCAGTATATGGTATTTCATTATAGCCACCTAAAAGTACCAAGATACTCTCCCTGTTTGCCCAGACCATCATGTTAAGTTTCTGTATTGAAAATGGGAGCCATGATCTCGGCTCACTGAGCAGCTGCAGCCTCCTGCTCTCCCTCCCAGCTCCTTCAGCCTCATAGCTGGACCAGCTGCTGATGGACAAAGACCAGCCTTCCTCCCACCCTTGCAGAGGTGAGAAGCCTCTGAACCCAGTGGTAGCTCATGAAAGCTTAGTATCAGAATGATGCCTTCTCAGGCTCCTTCTCCTTACCCCCACAGCCCTTTCTCTCAGCTTCCAGGCCTGGCTTGCCAAGAATCACCCTTCTGAAGGTGGTCTCTGCTTGTGCCAGACCCCTTAACAGACAGCAGAAACCTTGGAGGCAATTTCAGAGACCTGTTTAGACCTCCCTCCAGCTTCGAGAGGTAAAGAAAGGTGACCCAGTGCAAAACTGCAGTAGAGGGTGTGCAGAACCTTCTGTGCAGAGCTCACTGGGGGCCTTCAACAGTGTCCTGTGATTTCTGTACTGGTGCTCTATGAACCCAATTAGCTATCCCCATTTCCTATTCTCCATGATTCTCTCAAGTGAACAACCAGTGCCTCAATTTCCCCTGTGGCTCCTCCCCCTGATGTTTCCCCATCACTGCTGACTCCAGATTCTCTGACACTCTCTAGTGGCCTCCTCATGGTCCTCAAACTCCCCAACACCTTTGATACCCAAGACCCTATTTCTTATGTGTTTATTTTTATGATCTAACTTTTTACATAGGTAATAAAGGCACATGGTTAAAGAAGTTCTAACAGCCAGCAGGTAAAATGGAAAGAATAGGTCTCCCAAGCTCCTCCTTGTCCAGAGGCAACTGCTATGAAAAATTTCTTCTGATACTTTCCAGAAATAATCTATGAATAAACAAGCATACATTTGCATATCATATGTTCTCTCTTAACACAAATGGGAGCATATCATACACCCGTTGCATCTTGCTTTTTTCACTGAACGATACCTCTGACAGATTTTTCCATCATGTAACTCTTATATCCCCTTTTTTGCACAGCTGCTTGGGATTCCATATACTGGAAACATCATAATTAATTTAGCCAGCTCCTTAGGGATGGATATTTACATTGCCTCTAGTATCGTATTATCTCAAACATTGATGCAGTGAACATCCTTGTGTGCTGTCACTGTGCATATGGGCAGGACCCCATCCTAGAGGCAGTTCTGCTGGGAAGAGTCCTGTCTTCAGAATTCCCTCCAGCCTTCCCTTCTTGGTCCCTGCTGCAGCTGGCTCCCTCACATGCTCCTGACTTCAGCTTCCACTTCTTGGTTACCAGAAGCCATGTCATAATCTCCCAGGCCTTTCTCCAGGGCTCTGTCCTGCCCAGGAGACCTTTAGCCCAAGCTCAAAAACCTGTATCTTTAGCTGCTGCAAAACAGTATGGTCTAGATGTCCCCTCATCCCCTCAAACTCAAATTATCCAAAGGTGAACTGTTCCCACATCCCTCCGATTTTGGTCAATGGGATAGTATCTTCCTGGGCTTGTCACTGGATACCTAGGAGTTCTATTTGATACTTTGTTTAATTCCTCCTTCTCAATCCAATCTGTTACTGGGTCCTGCCTGCAAACTGCCCAATTATTTGTTCTGAATAGCAGGCAAGCTGGCCTCCCCCACCTCCTAGTATCCATTCTTGCCCTTCCTCCTTCCTAAGAGAGCCATGAATTTGCCCAGGAATTCATTCCTCCAGGAGAGTTCTTCAAGGGAAGCTGGAGGCTATCTCAACTCAAGATGGTGGATTCTGGTATGTGTTATTAGTCCAGAGGTGAATATGTGACTTAACTGGATGTAAGAGAAAGACTTCTATGGTCAAATGAAAAGTTTTAGCTTTTCTACTGAGTGCTGGCAAAAGAAGAAAGGAAGGAAGGAAGGAAGGAAGGAAGGAAGGAAGGAAGGGAAGGAAGGAAAAGCGAAGGAAGGAAGGAAGGAAGGAAGGGGGAAGGAAAGGAGGGAGGAAGGGAGGGAGGCGGGAGGGGGAGGGAAGGAAAGACGAAAGGAAGGAAGGAAAGAAGGAAGGGAATGGAGGAGGGAGGGAGAGAGGGAAGGAAGGAAGGAAGGAAGGAAGGAAGGAAGGAAGAAGAGAAGGAAGGAAGGAAGGAAGGAAGGAAGGAAGGAAGGAAGGAAGGAGAAATGCATGCAGCCCAGTTGCTACCAGCAGGCATCTTAGAACCAAAAGAGGAAGCAGACTTAGGATTAATGACCTTCTGGACAATTGATTGGACTGAAAACCCAGAGCCTGCCTCCCAGTGAATTTCCACTTCTGTAGCTTTATTGATCAAGTCACTTTCAACTGAGGTTTTCTGTTACTTGCAGCCAAAAGCATCCTAAGGGATTCAGTCCTATTTTCCCCCACCAGTTCCCATAGCAAGCACATCATCACTGTAGATCCAGATCACTTTGTTAAGAGGCACCTCTTACCAAAATCCTTAGCTC